AGGGAGGTAGGGTTTCTGTCCCTCACCCATTCCTGGACCTCGCCTGTTACCCCCTCATAGAATTGCTCCAACAACACCATTTGTAATAAGTCCTCCATGGACCGAGCCTTATTAGACTGTACCCACCCCAGAGCGGCCCGATGCAACTTGCAAGCCCATTCCACATGAGAGTCCTTGTCATTTCTCTTTAGGTCTCTAAACCGTCGCCGATATGCCTCTGGCGTGATTGCATATCAGGCCAGGATCACTTCTTTTACTCGGCGGTAATTCCGAATTTCCTCATCAGGTACAGTTCTATAGGCTTCCGCCGCCTTCCCTGTGAGCTTCCCTGCTAAAATAGGCACCCACTCATCTGGGCTAATATTATGCAAGGCACACAGCCTTTCAAAGTCTTGGAGAAAAGCATCTATATCTTCCTCTGCTTCTATATACGTTTTAAAGGCTTGGTAAGGAATTTTTGTCTTACCCTGTGTGATGATAGTTGTGGTAGCATTCCTCTCCAGCTGCTGTAGTGGCCTTTGGCGCAGTATAAACTCCTGTACCTCTGACATTGTCCTGGATATAATATCCGTTGTTGGATTCTCTCTATAAAAGGACAGCCTGAACTGCACCTCTCTCCGGAACTCTTCTTTTTCAGCACCATCTGCTGCACTCTGTTGCTCAGGGATTACCCTGTCCTCCTGCTGGTATTCAGCCATCACTTCTGCAATGAGGATTGCTTTCTTTTTGTTGCTGGCTGCAATGCCTTTCGCTTCCAGGAGATCTTTTAGCGTGGATCTTTTAAGCTTGGCATAATCACTCTCCATCCGTATTCCATTAGTCCTTGTTCCCTTGTGAGTCTGGATCCCAGCGCTGCCAACCAATGTAGCGGAGATGCAATATTCCCAGGTTGTCTCCGCTTATAATCCAAGTGAGGCTTAGGAACAAGTAAATAATAAATCCATAGGCAAAGTTTCCAGCAGGTAAAATAACAGCAACCTCCCCACAGCAATCCCAATAACTGGACGACACACAGTTTCAGGAGCAGAACTGACAAGCCTTTAATCACAGTCTCCTTATAAAGCATGCTCCCATGCAAGGGAGGGATTACAGTAATTATTACAGTAGCCAATCCTGTCCTGGTAACCTCCCACACATCTCCTCCCCTCAGCCAGCATCATAATCCCTTATCCAGTACACCAATTCCCCCCGTTTCTGGATGTACCCCTAAACGTAGGGGTACCTCTTTAAATCCTACATCCCCTGGTAGCCCTGATCTGGGTGAACAACATATCCAAAAACCACCCAGATCAGACCAGGAGTTCGGGAAAAGTATGGAGGGAATAAAATGACCGACCGCACGAACTGAGATAGCCGAATTCGGTTCCATGTGAATGGGCCCTGCGGTCGGTCCTGGCATAAGGGAATAAAACACACGAAAACCTCTAGCTATAGAGGCTAGGGAGGGTTCGCCTGAATCCCCTCGTTCGGTATTCTCTATCTACCGAACGAGGGGCCGTTCGGTAGTTTGGAACCGAACGGACCAGGGCTGTGGAGGTCTCAGCGGTGTTCGCCTACTCGAGTGTCCGATTTTAGTTCCAGACACTCGACGGCTAAACACCGCTGTTCTGGAGTTTTAAAATGGCCGCCGCCACGTGTTCGTTTGTCGAAGGGCGGCCACCCCCGAGAACAAAGGACGGCTACTTACCGTTCAATTACCCGTTCGCAACAATGTTGCAACGGGTAATTGAGGACACACTTCACACAGGGGAGGTCTGGTTGTTCGGTAGTTTCATTCGAATAAACTAAGGGAACGAAACTACCGAACAATCACAAGAATACAAGGCTTTAAAACACATAGGAAACTAACAGATCACATTTATTTCACAGACATTTTCAGGACAGCCCAGTGCCATCCGCTACATATGTTCCACCCACCCATGAGTTCGCTCACAGGGAGTAGAGTGTGTAGGGGATGTGTTATTGTAGAGGATATAATATGTGTGCTTATAGTATGTAGTGTATAGGGATACCAGTTTGTGTAGGTATTGCAGTGTGTTTGTGTGTAGTGGAAGCAGTGTGTATTTGTGTATAAGGGATGTATTGTGTGTTTCTGGTTGTGTGTAAGGGATGCATTGTGTGAATCTGTGTTTGTATGCATAAGGGATGCAAGGTGTGTGTGTGTCTGTATGTGTGTGCATTGAGTGTGTGTAAGAGATGCATTGTGTTTCTGTGTGTATGTAAGAAAAGCAGTGTGTGTGTTTGCATGTGTGAGTAAGGGTTTGCATTGTGTGTTTCTGTGTATGTGTGCAAAGGATGCATTGTCTTTGTGTGTAAGGGTTGCATTGTGTGTGTGTGTGTGTGTAATGGATGCATTGTTCGTTTCTCTGTGTGTAAGGGAAGCATGTTGTGTTTTTGTGTGTGTAGTGATGCATTGCGTGTTTCTGTGTATGTATAGGGATGCATTGTGTGTGCGTGTAGTGTGAAAGAGCTCCCTGTCTTGCCCCTTGTCCTATAGAGCTGTCCGTTCTGTCCCTTAGAGCTCTCCCCCACCCTCCCCTAGCGGTCTCTTCTCACACTCACCCACCCTCCCTGGGCTATTCTCATCCCCCCCTCCACCCTCCCTGTGTTCTTCTCATGCAACCCCCCCGTGTTCTTCTCACCTCCCTCCTCCCTGTGTTCTCATCTCCCCTTCTCCTCACCCCCCCTTCTCCTCCCTGTGTTCTCCTCAAGACCCACCCTCCCTGTGTTCTTCTCGCCCCCCCGTTCTCATCTCCCCTTCTCCTCACCCTTACTCTACCCCCTCCTCCCTGTGTTGTTCTTACTTCCCTTGTTCTTTTACTTGCCCTCTTGTTCTTCTTACTCCCCTTGTTCTTCTTACCGTTCTTTTTACCCCCTTGTTCTTCTTACTCCCCCCCACCTGTTATTTTACCCCTCATGTGTTCTTCGCCTCCCCTTCTTCTTCTTACCCCCCTCTTCTTCTTCTTGCTTCTTCTTACCCCCACCCCTTCTTCTTACCCCACCCTTCTTCTTACCCCTCCACTTCACCCCTACCCCTTCTTCTTACCCCTACCTTCTTCTTACCCCTACCCTTCTTCTTACCCCACCCCTTCTTCTTACCCCTCCTTCTTCTTGCCCTACCCCTTCTTCTTACCCCCTATTCTTACCCACCCCTTCTTCTTACCCCCTCTTCTTACCCATCCCCTTCTTCTTACCCCACCTTCTTCTTACCCCCACCTTCTGCTTACCCTCCCTTTTCTTACCCCCCCCTCTTCTGCTCCTTCCTGTAGCGTGGCCGAGCTCCTCTCCTGTCCGCGGTGCCCGGCCGGAGTGATAGGAAGGTGCACACTGAGTGTGCACTTCCTGTCAGTCCGGCAGGTTACAGGAAACAGAAACTCCGCGTGGAACAGGAGATTCTGTTTCCTGTAACTGGCCGGACTGACAGGAAGTTCACACTGAGTGTGCACCTTCCTATAACTCCTGCCGGGCACCACGGACCGGATAGGAGCTTGGCCACCCTACAGGGGAGAAGCAGCGCTGCAGCCGCTTGAGGCTCTTAACAGAGCGCTCAGGCGGCTGCAGCATTAGGACCGGCCCTGCAGCGGCCGGTTTTAAAATTATTTAGGGCGGCCTGGGGGGCAATTGCCTCCCTGCCCCCTAGCCCAGCCCGCCCCTGCATGTCACTATAAGTTAATAGAGTCAGTATCCAACCTGCTGAGTGCATCCATGTGAGAAATTACAAACTCATTGGCTATTTATACACATAAACTAGTTGCAATTTAAAAAGCCACAGGTATGGGAAATTAACCTTTAATTGCAATTTTAACCTGTGTGTGTATGTCACGTTGTGTGTCTGCAACAAGGCAAACATTCAAGGGTATATACACTTTTGATCATGGTCATTGGGTGATGTATGTCATTATT